ATCGCGCGCATCGACCGAAGCTATACCTAGTGATGCGAGGTCGAAGTTTACGCTTTGGGAGTCATTCTTCCAGTTCGCGACTCCTAGTACCATTCTTGATCCCGAGAGCTTCCCCATCCATATATCCCACTCTTCTTCAGTGTCGCGACGGACCAACATTGCCTGCTGAGCAAGAGCATCTTGATTGATGGCAATAACTTCTTTGTTTTCCATGATGGCCAAAGAGCTCTGACTAATGCGCTCTGGGTCGAGTGCGGCGCCGATGATAAGAGGCGACTTATTGATTGCCCACATCCCGAAGTGAAAACGCTCTTCCTCTTCTGATAGAGCATTGAGACCGACGCTTGGATTGTCAGCGAGAAACTATGAGTGCACGGAGCTTTACTCACATCAACATGTCCATGTCTGCAAACGCACCAACAGTCGTGTGCCGAAAGTACGGCACGACTTGATTCGTGATGCGCCAGATGCTGCGCCACGCGTTGTAGATGTCGTTGCTGATTCGCCATGTGTTGCCAATTTCAGCAGCCCAGTCTCCAACATCGGTACCGATCCCCCACTGGCAAACGTAGTAGTGAATGTCACGATCTACTGCTTCCAACTCGGCCGCCATATGTTGGAAGCGTGCCGGAGACTGCGACTCAGCAGAGCTGGAGTCGACCATGGTGGTATTGGAGGTAGAATAGCAGTTATCATACCTTCGCGTTGTTAGCAAGGTGCGCAATTCCAACTGGAATCGTTCTACTGGATCATACTTCAAGCTATCTCCTCCCCACTCAGCAAAGCTTTCAGCATCTAGCTGCTCAAATCCCAGACTCGCAGGCAGCGCTTCTGATCCACATTGCAGGTACCCAGCGCCAGAGTAAAGACCGAAATCCAACCCCAGACCATGGATGAAGTCGCCAAGTGCTTTACCACCCGATGGAAAGAGGGTTTCATTCCATTGGAGTTTACCCTCAGCATCGCGGTCTTCAGAGGGCCAGCCACAGTCGACTGTTACGAAGTTGTAGCCAGCCTTGTCAAGTCCGAGGTCGATGAGTCCTTGTGCACTTGTTCTAATCTTATCTTCAGAGGGCAAACAGTTCCAGGTGTTGTACGAGTTCCATCCCATAGGAGGTGTGGGTGATCTGACCGTTCTGGCTGCAGCTTGCAGGGCGAGGCATGCCGAAAGGATAAGTGTAGTAGCCATCGTGACGAGACTTTACCGCAGAGAACAGTCAACGCGCATACTCATATTCATGGTACCATGACGAGCTTAATATCCGGTGGTCACTTTGCTGCACGCTCGATGACCTCACGGCAAACAGCGCTCCCTTGCCATGAACCGGGCGACGGAGAAATTGGTCGCGATGCATCAAGTCCCACCTCTTGGCCTGCATCGTCTGATATAGCGCTAAAATACGAAGTAGCGATCGACAGACATACGAGATGTCCAGGGATGGTGGGATTGTACTTCGGGCTTGGGTGAGGAGAAGGTCGGGCGTTTGCCCGTGAAGAAGCTCTGGGCGTCCTGAGCCGGGGACGGAAGCCATACCCCGCTGAACTCCGCGCCGCCAGCCTTGTCCGCACTTGTACCAGCGCGATCCACTAGCCTCGGCGTTATATCAAAACAGGCCGCGAGAACACTTCCTGCGCAAGCGGACGATATCGAATTGAGCAAGCATGCAGACGCATCCAAGAGTGAAACCGTTGGGACGTCGCCTCCCCTCGAATACACGTCGTTCATGCGCTTGTAGCGACACCAGCTACAGCTGCTACTGGGTCTGGTAGCCATCACGTAGCCCTTGACTGCAACAACTTATTTCCCCGTCGCATTGCTAAATTGAAGAAGTCGACGCTGGAGAAGAGCGCGGCATGATACAAGTCCTGAACAGGGCTCTTCGACGAGTGGATATGACGCATCAGTGGGCACGAAGACTGGAAAGTAGATAATGCTTGACGTGCTTTCGAAATAGGGCTGTTGTGAGGTTTCAGTGGCACTTGTACGATCTGCAAAGCTTCCTTACACAAAGTCCCTTGTTAAGCCCTTACTTTTACATGTCCACATCCGCAGGATTACTGTCCTAGAGGTGTAATTGTAATAACAGACATATTCATTCGTTTCAATCGAAATCGTTCATTCCATCTCAGGCTCACAAAGAGCGATCAAGAGCTACATGATGATCACGAAAGAAAGGCTGTCGTATAAGCTTCTGCTATCGAGAGCTGCCCAGAGTGATTTAACTAGCCGATGGCGGCTGCGGCCACTTGTCCAGCACTGTCTCCTCACCCGTAATCGTCAGTTTGATCTCTGCCTGCGTGGGCTCATCAAGCAGCAACGTATACTCTCCCGGATACACAACTGTGTTACCCATCTGGTCGACTCGCGCCAACGTTCCGAGCGTGAGGGCGAGTGACGCCATCTTCGTCTGACCACCAGAGATGTCTCTCATTCGTGCGTAAGAAACCAGAGTCTTGAGTGGGTAGGGCTTCGGCCCAGCTTCACCCTTGATGAACGTTAGAGCGACGAAGTCAGAGGTTCGGTTACCCTTGTTTGTAACCGTAACTTCTAGTGGAGGAACGTCGCATAGATCTGAGTATTTTTGCGTGCAGTTACTCATCAGTTCCTGGATGTTGTAGGTAAGGCCTTGGCTACTGCTGAAGTTCGCTGCAAAAGTGGTGTAGTGCAAGCCAAAGCCAAACGGCTGTACGGACTCGTTGTACCAGCGGTAGGTTCGACCGGGGCTGTCGGCGTCTGGGCGCAGGTTCATGTCCAACATGGAGAGTTCCGTGTAGCTCGCAGGATATTGCGTGATTGGTAGACGGCCCGCGACTGCATGCGCACCAGAGATGACTTGCATGACTGCTGAACCACCGTCTTGACCCGGCCAGTTGGCCCAGATTACTGAGTTGACACCTTCCATGGACAGGAGGGGCGAGTTGTCGACCATGTCTCCCAGCACAACGACGACAAGAGGCTTGCCGATCTTAGCCAACTTGGTGATGAGTTCGACTTGTGCGCTGGGCCAGCTGATGCTCGTACGGTCGAAGCCCTCTGCCGCTGCTGAAGTATCTAGCCCACCGAAGTAGATGATGTAATCGGAGCCTTGCGCTGCGTTGAGCGCATTCGTCGTCCAGTTATCCCGAGCGCTGGAGTTTTGCAAGACAGGACCTGTGGCAATGGACATGTTCAGGCCAAGCTGCGTACCAGCCCATACTGGCGTACGCAGGTAAGGAGCAGGGCCGCTGTAGATACCAGACAGCTTCGAAGAGTCGTTAGCCCAGAACCCGATCATAGCGACATTGGTTCCATTGGAAAGCGGGAGTGGAAGCGTATCATCGTTCTTGAGCATAACCAGGCCTTCGGATGCAACCTGCAAAGAGAGTCGCTGTGCTTCCGGCGTGTTGACATCGTTGATGCCTAGGTCTGCGTATACAGCTCCAGCACCATCAAAGTACCCGGCGCGGACGAGCCCTTCATATTGACGCGTAAGAGCTCTGTCTACAGTGGAGATATTCATGAGTCCTTGACTCCAAGCTCCAGGAATATCGGAAGATCCTGAGTACTCGCAGCTGTTATCCATGCCAGCGTTGAATGCCACTGCAGTGCCCTCAGCAAGCGTTTTGGTGTAGTTGTGGTTCTCAGAGATATCGGCGACGGCCTCGCAGTCGCTGGTGATGTAGTTGTTGCTCTCCGTCCAATTCCAGTGGTCGCGCAAAATGGTCTGGAGAACGTATGTATCGGCACATGTGGGGACGCCGTTGACAGCATTGTAAGAACACATGAATGATCCGACTTTTGAGTCCCGTGCACATTGCTGGAACGGAGGCATATAGTATTCTGCTAGATCTTGCATCGAGATCTTGGCGTCGAAGTGGTGGCGATCGGTGCCGCCCCAGGCCTCCATATCGTAGCCAACGTAGTGCTTGCATGTCGCAATGATCTTTCGTTGTGCCTGGTCACCTTCTAGTCCTGCCAGTAGGCTCTTTGTATAGCCCTTGATTCTCAGTATGTCTTCTCCGGGTGTTTCTGAACCACGGCCCCAACGAGGATCGCGGAATGGGTTGATGTCGGGAGTCCAAAAGTCCACAGGAGCCACACCACCGTTGCCGAACGCACGTGCTTCATTTCCGATGATATTGGCGACCTGATGAATAAGGTCATCGTCAAAGGCAGCCGACATGAGCAATGGCATGGGGAAAGAGGTGGCATTTGTGAAGGGTTTGGTGAAGTTGATACCCGGAGCCCCAGCTACACCGTGCAATGCTTCTCCCCACCAGTTGTAAGCTGGAAGACCGAGTCGAGCAGCGCCCTTGGATTTGCTGCCTCTATTAGCTTGGTATTCTTCGAGACTCGCAGTGAGCGTCTACCTCATCAAGTTATCGAGCTTCTCCGCCGTCTCCATAGCTGCGACGAGAGCGGCTGCCCTCTCGGTTGGTGGAGCATTGACATCGCAAATCTTATTGTCTTTCAGCGGACCATTAACGCAGTCAGGACCTATCGCGTAGGTGGTCGACAATAACGCAGCACCGAACAGAAGGATGGATGAGGCTGAATGCACCATGGCTACGACGGGTGAACTTCTGTTGCTAGACGATATAGGTACAACTTTTTGAGATTCCCGACCCTTTATGGCTTCCCTGCCGTACCATTTCCAAGAATCATCATGTTGCCAAGGTACTGAATTAAGCCGGAATAGAACCCGGCCATGCTCTACTCTACCTTTACATGAGAACGTAATAATAATTGACCAAGCTACCCCGCGTGTACGAGCCCCAGATCTGCATGGTGTTGCTCCACGATCGACCCGTGAGAATAGGCGATATTCAGCCACCGGGTCCAACAAAACACGATGCGCATGTCATATTGCATCACCCGTAGTGCCTCGGTTGACTTTAAGCGACTGTTTTATTGTAACCACAACGCCTAAGTAGCGTAACAGCGGGTAGCTAACAGCGGCACAGCTCGTTCCCGCATGGATACCAACGGTTGAAAGCATTGCGACCGGTGCTTAGCTGCTTTAGCCTTCCTGGGGCTTATTATTTGGGAAGACTTTGCTGCTCAAGTCGAACACAGGAAGTGGGCATGGAATTCCCACGGCTTCGCAAGCGGTAAGAATTGCAAGGTACCAGCCAGATATTAAGCCCAGAAAGCCAAAACCTCCTGCGCATTTCAGCAACGTGTTGATGTGTTCAACATCGGCTTCTGTTGTGGCTGATGCGACGGAAAAATCGGCGGCGGCGATAAAAGCGAAGAGCATGACGAGACCAAAGAATGTGGCGGTAAAGAAGAGGTTGACACGAAGCGTTCCTATCAAGAAGACAAAGCTAGCGAGTACCCTGCATGACGATTAGATATCGGACATCATGCGCATATGGACTGGATGGCCTTGCTTACATTGAGACGTTGTGGAAGCCCTGGGATGCGTTATAGGCTGCACCATTCGCGCCTCCCAATTCTCCGAATGCAGAAGTGGTTTGATGTATGGGATCCTGCTGGTACGCCAGACTACCCCAATGACTTCCGTATATGAGAAAAACTGCCATAGGAAACGCTGATACAGATTAGCATCAGATAAGCAGCAGAATACGATTCACATACTGTTGCCGAGAATAAACTCAGCGATGCCAGCGACATTCATGGCTAAGGCACCGAAGAAATAGTAGTCGGCGCTGAGACCGACCAAGCTTTGTGGAGCAACTGCTCCTTGGAAGCCGCAGAGAATCAAGATGGTTGAAGTATATGGAACCAAAAAGCCAATGAGACCGAGCAATGTTGGGTTGGCGAACCGTTTCGCGAGATCTCCACGGCGTGGAGCAGATGGCTGGAAAAAGAGGCGCTCATACTGTTCGGGAGACAGAGCTACAGTGACCTGACGGCTCAATGGCGAACCGTTGCCTGCGATTGGCATGCCATTGTGCTCGGTCATTTCGTGATCAATCTTGACAGTATCAGACATGGTTAGAGGTGGCGCTTTCAAGGTCGATGATGGTGGAGTTGCGGGTGCGACGATAGATAGTCGAAGGGGGTTCTGGAGGAGGAACAGGAGCGCGTAATCGTGTCTTCACAGAAGGCGGCATGATGGCTATAATGCAGTACCAAGATAGCCTTCGTAGAGGCGTGAAACGGCACACGGCTCAGGCATCCACATCTGGTCGTCGTCATCTCTCGACCGAACCGAGGCATGTTGCCGGTCTCTGGCGACTTAACCCCAGATTTCTCCGCATCCATCTCCACATTTGCTGCGACGTCCAGGCCAGACACGGGTTGTAGAATTATGTCCGATTGAACCCGAGAGCTTGGGATGCGCTAATTGGTGGACGGTAGGAAAGACGGCAGATCAAGCGTTGACAAGCGGTGCGAAGCATTACGTTCCGCGGACTAGGCAACGTGACGCTAGGCAGAGAAGAGGCAATAGGCCGCGAATGACATCAATAACGAGCGCCTCTTGTTTCTACTCTCAAAGCCGTTAGTTCTTTTTCCACATTTACACCGATGTGTAGAACGTATTTCAAATTACGGCTAGAGTCATCTGTCTTGACGAAGTAGTGCACGCGCTTGAACGTGTTATAGTTCAAGCCCGTTCATCGTAGCGTTGAAGGCACTCTCGTCGACGGGACCTGCACTCCGCTTCCATGCTTCAATCTTCCGTTTTTCGTCCAGAATTTCGGGGTCGCTCGGGCATAATTCAACCAGTTGATCGATCGTGTCGACTGCGACCGGAATCAGGGTCAGCACTCCCGATAACCTACTGAACTTTGCATAATAAAATATGTTGTGCAAATGTTGTGCCGGGGATGGTTTCCATGAGTGCTCAATTCCCCAGTATTCTGCCTCCATACCACGTTTCACGTTCTCGTATGCATATTGGATGCTAGGTATGGCATTGCGATTTCCTTCTTCGAGCCACAGGAGGAAATAAGCCACGATGTGGAGGTTGGCAGTGTAGTGAAGCTCTGCGACCTTTCCTACGAACGGAGAGCCGCCCTTTTCAACGACGCGGGTCCACATGGGCCCATCGACCGCTTTCATAATTTCCTTAATAAATTTGAACCAATGCGCTGAACCATTACGGTTTCCTCGCTCGCACAATTTTGTACCTTGTGCCACGCGCGCTCTCCATGACTCGATCAAGTCGTCGAGGTCGTCAAATTTGTCTCGTGCGAGGTCCTTTAGGGCTGATCGAACCAGGGATTCGTCGACTATGCCACTAATGTCGACGTTTGGTACGTCACTGATTGTTCGGCGGAAGGGTTCCAGTAGCTCCTTTTGTACTTTAGTGGAGGAGAAGTATGTCGTTGGGGCCTCTGTTTGATACGGTGGAACTATAGCGGCCAGTCCAAGCTCAATGCTTATCAGCACAACGTCCATATGGTCCTCCAGGAGATCATCTCCTCGCATGATAGCTTGGCATAGGAGTTCAAGGTCTCGAAAAAGCATGATAATGTTGCATGGCCACAGGGACTCTGAAGGTGGTAGATCTCACTGACAATCATACTTGCTGTTCCCTATGGTGACATGTATGGCATGACCCCGGAAATCCCTGGTCGCAGGATCACTGGAGGAGGCTCCAAATCCATGGTCGACGGCTAGAAAAGGTACGTCGTTCTGCATGAGCATATGCGAAAAATACAGACCGCCATTGCAAGTCACGAGCACAAAGCGGTTAACCTTGATCATGACGTTGTAGCCTTCGGAGTACACTTGCTTGTTGACGCGTAAAATGCTCGGGCTGAAGTGCTCTAGGGTGTTCATATCGTCCGTGACAGTATCAGGCTGTGGAAAGTACATAGCAAAATCCCGTAGATTTTGTCGCGGACTTCGCGGGGAAGGTCGAGGAAGCGAAAGGCGGCCATTTCTGCTGATGTGTCTGAGACTAATGAAGGTGATGTTGATGTTGTAGCCAACTTGCGGTACGCGTTGGGCGAGGATCACTTTATAAATAGTGGGTACCCTGGCCGTCTAGTACATTGTTAGTTAGTCACAATACCGCAGGTCGGCAAGCCCCACACTAAGTGGAATATCAAGGAAACTTTGTCGAACGAAAGTAGCTACAGACTTCCAATGGGTCTCTTGTACACTGGGATCGCAACATCTGGATCGTATTCGGACTGCACGACTTTACTGCCTGGCGGGAAGGTCAAATTGGTTTTATTAGGCAGTTCGCATTCATTTGGTGCGTCGCTCGCCACCATCCATTTGCTCTCCAAGCCCGCTTGTCTTGCGATGTCTTTCTTCACCCGATACACAATTTCTGGTCGTGGTATAATGCTGCCTACAGCTTCCAGTGTCCTGCTATCTTCCGGCTCATCAGGCGTAGCTATAACCCACGTAGGATCGTTGTACCGCTCTCTGATATGGTTGGCGCCTGAACAAAAAAGTGTTTTCTGCTCAAAGTCGTCAGGGATTGGGATATGCACATTGACATGCTACAAGTCGTTTGAGATGTGTGTATTGGCAACACTGTAGCTGGCGAACTGCATGACAACATCACAGATATCCATGCGTATCTTGTAAAGAGTGTTTAGGCTTTCAGCTAGCCTATTTGCAACATCGTCTGCAGTGGCGAAGCCCTCAATGTACCAGATTCCCCCATCGAGCGGCGTATGGGAGTCGGTGACGAGCAAGGGGTCTTGTTCGGGATATGCTCGCATTGAGTCCGCATGAGAAAGATGCGACCACTCACGCTTGTCCTTGATGAAAAGCTCTTCCGCAGGGTATGGAGAGCGCAAAGTAACGCCGATGCCGAACAGTTCCTGAATTCTGTTCAGTTGAGCTGATGTAAGGTCGGCGGTAACGAGAGCGAGAAGACGCTGCTTGTCGTAGTGAAGGTTAGGAATGTAGACCATGATTGTACGAACTGGATTGAGAGTGAGCATTACACAGCCTAAGGAGAATAGGCTTATATCTTTGTGTGTTCACGGTGGTCTCGTATCTAGCATTAAAGCACAACTTTAATGACCGGCGCGAAGCCAGCCAGGCAACAGGCAGAGCTAAGTGTGCTCGCTCTTCTTGGTCGTATCTAGATTGTCAGTCACTAAGCTATGTAGTGAGTAATGTTGAGACAAAGGCAGTTCTATCTACGCGTCCTAGGTAGCCAATGACGTAAATGCGGGCTTGAAGCATGGATGGGGTGCGTCGCGTGTTGATGCCTTAAGATGTTCCTGGCTATAGGATGCGTAGTGGGGGAGCTGCAAGCCACTACGATGGAGCCTGAAGATGGGGTGCATTGGTTCCATCAGGTTCGGCCCACGTTGATTCCGGAGGTTGATATTGATCATGCAGGGTGACAAGTTCGACGTGTGCTCTCTTCAGTGGTCAGGTGTGTGATGAAGGGCGGTGGTTGGTGTGTGGTGCTGGCTGTGTAGGTCGGTGTGGAAGCTATTAGACCCTGCTTTTGCCATCCCCACATGCTTTTGCCAGTCCAGCGCAGGAGCATGTCGCGACTATAACGCGACAGCTGCTACTGCTCCCATCTATATTACAACTACCAGGCCGTTAATCGTCGCACACCCCACCTGCGGTAGTGCGTAATTTGGAGTGCATTGATCAGCATAGGCCCCTGAATCGCAGCGCCGAATGGCCACGACTCCCCCGGCTCGCGACAGAGCTTCTTCGGAAAGCCTGCCAGTCGGGAGTCCGCTGCCCAAGAAACTGCCCGCCCCCTCAACACCCACGAGCTCCATCCGCCGCATGATGGCTGCCAATGCGCCTTCTCCAGCCTCGAAAGAGGGTGCTCCACCCCGTCGCTCGACTGCAACCAGCGGCACTGCTGCGAGTGCCCGTCGACCTACTGCCGCATCAGCAAGCACGGCGCGAACGCCCACGAGCGCGTCAAAAGCCCCCACCACAGCGACATCACGCACAAGCACAGTTGGATCCAGCTTGAACAAGCCGCCTACGCGTCCAGCGGCAGGCACTACAGCCCGCAGAACCATCTCGTCTTCCAAGACCGCATCCGATGCCGAGCCAGACCTGTCTTCTGTGACGTCGGGGGACGAGAAGAAGAGAACACCAGCAGTGCGCCGGACGCCCGTCACATCATCCACTGCCTCGCGACCATCGCCGGCTAAGCCAACGTCGCGCCAATCCCTTGCCTCCTCGACCACCACGCCCACGAGTGCAGCCAAGCGTCCCGCGACAACACGCCCATCCGCAGAGGCAGCCACGACCCGCGCAACCCCGCGTGCTTCTCTGGCTTCATCGACACGCCCGACCCCTACCCGACTAGCGGCAGGAGCGAGAGCTGCAGGCGCAACACCAAAGGTGCCGTCGGGACACGCGAAGAAGCTGTCCGTCTCTGCCCCTCCACCCCCAGCACCGGAGACCGAGGATACAGCAGAGGGAGCGTGAGTGGGGCCACGAGCATCTGAATTGCCATGAGCTAATTTGTCCGCAGTGAGAGCCCCGTTATCGTATCCCCGCGCCGCATTGCGCCCCTCAAAGACAAGGCCGCGTCTGACAATGAAGCCGGAAACCGCAGGAGCGCTCTCGAGCCCATCAGGGCATCGCTGGCGAAACTCGGCGAAGAGCCGCCGCGACCGGATACTGCGCCGACGGGACGTGCCGAAATGGATGTGGAGATGAAAAGGCGGAGCGCTCAGATCATGCAGGACTTCTTCAAGGAGACCAACCTACGCGACAAGCTGCAGGAGCAATGCGAAGACCTCACCCGTGAAGTCGACAACCTCCATTCCGAAAAGGACAAGCTGCGCAAACAGCTGGCCGATGCCCAGGCCGCCATTGTCGAAAAGGACAAGGCCATCTCAGGCGGCTCAGATGCCTCGCCATCAGAGCAACGCGCCCACACAATCCTCGTCGAGGACATGGAAAAGAAGTTTGCGAGAGAGACCAAGCAGCTGGAAGAGCAGAGCCAACAGCTCGAGGAGGAGAAGAAGGCTGCGCAGGAGAGAGAAGCTACCGAAGCTGCCAAGGCCAGCGAGCTGCAGCAGGTCCTCGACGATCTGAATGCCGAGCTGGAACAACAGGGACGTCAATGGGACGAGGAGAAGAAGAGGCTTGTCGAGCAAGCCACACAAATCGAGGAGCTCACCCAAGAGGTCACCACACTCCGACAAGAGCGCGACAGCCTCTCCCAAGAGCTGGATATCGCCAAGAAGACATTGGAAAATCTCGAGATAAAATTCACAGAGCTCGAGCAGAGCCAGTCGGACAATCTCCGTGCGCGCGATGCTAAGATCACCGAGCTGACCAAGACTGTCGGCGAGTACGTGGAACAGGTTGCTTCTCGGGAGGAAATACACAACAACGCCCTGCAAGAAGCGCAGCGATCCCTCGAATCAAAGTCAACAGAGTCTTCGGCAGCGGTTGAGCAACTCCAATCCGAGATCGAATCGATACACCAGAAGCACACGGATGAACTACGCATCAAGGAAGACACCATTGCGTCCCACCTCCAGACCCAGAAAGAACTACAGGACGATATTGCCAAACTGCAAGAGCGGGCCGACCAAGTCTCTGCGGACCTAGAGAAAGAACGCAATGCGCACGCAGAACAGATGCAAGCCAAAATCGAGGAGCTCCAGAAAAGCTCAGAGAGTGAGCTACGCGCGAGAGAGGATGAGCTTTCCGGCCATCTCAAGTCCATTGACGGTCTTCAGGAGCAGATTGTGGCGCTTCAACAAGGCTCGACCGATGGTGCCAAAGTAGCTGAAGAGCTCCACAAGCAAATTCAGGATCTGAAGGAGTCACACGAAGCTGCAATCAAGGTCAAGACTGATGAGTGTGACGAGCTTGTCCGACAACTGGATGCCATTAACGATCAGCTTACCACTGATGCTGCCGAACTCGAGCAGCTTAGGGAAGAGACCGCTAGTTTGCGCAGCACTATCGAAACACTTGAGAAAGCCTCGCAGCAGCAAGAGTCTCAACACGCTTCCGACATGGCCAAGGTTCAAGCTGAGCTGAATGAGGCAAACAAGAAGATGGAAGCCCAAAAAGCAGAGCTTGATACCATGCATGATAAACACAAACAAGATCTCCGCGTCATCGGCGAGGACTACGAGCGTGAAATCGAGTCTCTGAGAGCGGATCTGGAAGGAGACGCCACAAAGCGACTCAATACCCTGCAAGCCGACTACGATTCACTCGTCGCTGAAAAGAACGATACTTTAAGAGAGCACGAGGGTGTACTTGCCAAGCGGTCCACGGAACTGGAAGCTCTGAAGAAAGACCTGACGGATGCCAAGGAGAACTCCGCCCGTGCAACGCAAAATCGCGACGATGCTCTTGCCAAACTCAAGGATGTCGAAGAAGAGAAGGCTACTCTCGCAGAAGCTCATGGCACTTCCCAGTCACTTGTTGCTGATCTTCAAGCTCGCGTTGACAACCTTACTCAGGAAGTTGCTGCTGTCGAAGGTCTTCAGTCTAAACTAGACCGATTAGAAGAGGAGAAATCGGCCACCATGGAGGCACATGCCATGTCTCAGTCAATCATTGCTGATCTGCAAGCTCGTCATGACTCTTTGTTGGAAGACAAGACTTCGGCTGAAGATGCACACAGTCGCGCAATTGAAGCCTTGAAACAGGATTCTGAGAGCCAGACAAAGCAGCTACTCAGTGAGCTGGAGTCCAAATATGATGCTTTACTGGCAGAGAAGAAAGCTACTGAAGAGGAACACCTCAACGCCCTCAAATCTCTAAAGCAGGATGCCGATGCCTCATCCAGGCGAACGATCGAAGAGCTCCAATCCAAGTGCGACGCTCTACTAATCGAGAAGAGCACAGCCGAGCAAGCACACGAACAAGCCATGGAGTCCTTGAAGCAAGACTCTGAAAGTCAGTCGAGGCAACTAACCAGTGAGCTCCAATCGAAATACGATGCTTTGCTAGAGGAGAAGAAAGCCACTGAAGAGGAATACCACAATACCATCGAATTCTTGAAGCAGAGTGCCGATACTACTTCCAAGCAGACGGTCGACGAGCTTCAGTCCAAGTACGACGCTTTACTAGACGAGAAGACTGCAGCTGAGGAAGCGCACAAACACGCCATGGAAGCTTTGAAGGAAGAATCAAAGACCACATTGAAACAACACCTCGACGAGCTTCGAACAAAGTACGATACACTGCTAGAGGAGAAGACTGCGACTGAAGCAACCCACTCTCAGACGATAGAAGCCTTGAAGGCGGAGTCGGAGAGCAAGACCAAATCGATTTTAGGCGAACTTCAATCCAAGTACGACGCGCTATTGGAAGAGAAGTCTTCTGCAGACGACGAACATAGCCGCATTGTCGTGCAGCTGAAGGAAGAAGCAGACAGCACATCGAAGCAACTGTTGGGCGAGCTCCAAGCCAAGTATGATCGAGTAGAGGAGGATATGAAGAGCACATCTGAAGCTTTGAACGCTTTGCAGCTCAAGTACGATGCTGTCACTGGAGACATGAGCAGCAGTGAAGGAAGCCACAAGGCTGAGATTGAGAATTTGCAGAGTCAACGGGACGACCTCTCCAAGCGACTTTCAGACCTTGAAAAGAGCCACGCAGATTCGCTCACAGAGCAGCTGATGGCCCAAGAAACGCACACCAAGGCACTCGAAACGCAACAAGCCGAGATCGAACAGAAGTATGCCAGCCTACTAGAGATCATGCAAAGCGATGCAGATCGTTTGGAACAAGAGAAGTCAGCGGCAATCTCAGCAAAACAATCCGCACTCAATGAGCTTGCTACTCTCAAGAAAGAACTGCATGCTGAAATTGATGAACTCAAGAAAGGACTGTCAACGAGAAGTCAAGGTAGTCCAACTGGAGCTGATGAATTAGCTCAAAAGTACGAGATTCTCCTCGCCGAAAAGGCTGCCGCCGACAAGGAGCATCAGGAAGCCGTGGCAAA